ATAAGATGGGGCAAAGGTGCCTGGAAGAATAACATCACTCTCTATCAAGATCCACTATATCTTGATATTATAACGCTCAAATATAAAGAACTGGTCCACCATATAGGAAATTTTTCATTAATTCAGGATTGGTGGGATTATGCTAAAAATCACATCAAGAAGACGTCTATTGCTTTTTCTATTAACAAAGCAAAAGAAAGTAGGATGAAAAGAAACCATCTACAATATTTAATTAGCGAAGGTCAAGATCATAGCGAGATTATAAATTTACGAAATGAACTTCTCCTCCAGCAAACTAAAAAATTAGATTACATAAAGTTGAAAGCCAGGATCCACGAAACTGAAGAGGGCGAAGAGCCCACCAGAATATTTTTTCAACAAATTAAAAAACGGGAGCAGGAAACAACAATCCTGCAATTAAAGGATAAATTTGGAACTATAAAAGAAAACCCGGATGATATAATCAGAATAGTCCATGATTTTTATGTGGACCTATGGGGAACCACATCAGATATTGATGTGTCAACCCAGGAGGACCTTATAAAAATCATGCAATCCACTCAATTATCGAGTGATGACAATAGTCAAATTCAAGCTTGGGCAACTGAAGGAGAGGTTCATCAAATAATTACAGGGATGGAGAATGGCAAGTCGCCGGGCCTCGACGGCTTGTCGAAAGAGTTCTATAAGACGTTTTGGTCATTAATAAAAAAAGAATTTCTCGTTTTGATCAATAATATTTTGCTCTCTGGTATATTACCAGAATCATGCAAAAAAGCTAGAGTTAAATTAATCCATAAAAAATCCGACGTCACAGATTTGAAAAATTGGCGTCCGATTTCAAATTTGAACGTTGATTATAAAATAATTACAAAACTTCTTTCAAAACGCCTTACTAAACATCTTTCTCCTATAATTAGCCCGACCCAGAAGAGTACCATCCTGGGCGTAGCATTTTTGACGTGCATTATAATATTAATAGTGCACTCAGTTATGCTAACTTCACTAATACCCCTTGTTTCATAGTCTCTATAGATAATCTCAAAGCGTTTGACATGGTCAACCATCACTATCTCTTGAGAATACTCGAGATGATTAACCTGGGCCCAAACGCTTTGAGATTAATAAAATCTATCTATACGGGTATAACTAGTATAATTGAGGTCAACGGGGCTTTCACCAAAGAAATCAGCATACTCAGGGGCATCCGTCAAGGATGTCCCCTGAGTATGCTGTTATATACCATCAACGCGGAGCCCCTCAGCCGCCGTATAGTAGATAATAATTTTATAAAAGGCATCCGTATAGGCAATTTTCATCATAAGATGGATCAGTATGCGGACGACGCAAATTTTATTGCGTCGGACGCATACTCCATCGATGCTATTTTTCAGGAATTGGAGTTTTTTCGTTCTGCCACAGGGCAGAAAATCAATAAAGAAAAAACTAGCATCCTCTGTTCGAATAATAGGGCGAAGGAGATGATATCATTCTTCCCCCATCATAAATTTGTAAAGGATACTGTAAAAATTCTTGGGATTTATTTTGGTAAAAATAGGGTTCACTCAACTTGGAGTGAAAAGGTCTCCAAAATTGAAAATATTATAAACCTAAATAGGACTAGACAATTATCTTGGTACGGCAAGATCCTGGTACTTAATTCCTTGGTCTTGTCGCAAGTCCTATATAGTGCGAGGTCGGTAATGATGCCACCTCATATCATCAAATATATTAATAGGAAGATCTTCTCTTTTCTCTGGAGCTCAGAACCTATGGAAGTTCTGGGCAGGCGGATCCTCCGGAACGAAAGATCCAAGGGTGGAATGGATGTTGCGTGTCTTGACACCAAGATTGTTGCCTGCCGGGCTGAACGCTTTCAACAACTGGTCTCCCTAGTTAACCCCACTCAATTGTGGCATAGAGAGGCCCAGTTCAGCCTTGGCAGTAAGATAATCCAGGTCAATCCTGGGCTATTTAGCAACAGCATTCCCCATTCCATCCATGTTCCAGAATCATGGCTGAAAGCCTTTAACACTTTTCGTGTGTTGAAGGATAAAGGCCATGATTGGGATACCGCCGGCCTGGCTTCCAATTATAGGTCTCTAATGAGTTCCAGAGAAGAGTGCCCTCCATCAAATGTGGATTGGGAACTAGTCCATCTCTCTAAACATCATAATAAAAAACATTTCAGTAATCTCGAAAGAGAATTTTCATATAGGATCACTCGAAACGGATTCCTTTTCGGTCAACGCCGGAAGGGAACCGGTTTCAAATATCATAGTAAAAATAATCGTCTTTTAAAACTGGACTGCAAGTTTTGTCATGATGGTCTTGACAATACCCAGCATATTTTTTTGGAGTGTCGTATCTGCCTGAACATGGCGGCTGAAATATCCAAAGTCTTAAATAACATCTGCTTGAGTCCTATACGTGTTGATATGGATGATCTTTTTTACAACACGTACGACAAGAACTGTACTCTTACTGTACTCAAGATATTCCAAATATTTAAAGTACATGTAATAAAAAGAAAAAAGACTTTGGATAAGGAAGACCGCTATGCGAGGTAGACGACACTAGTAACATAATAAAATCAGTTATCACTGATTTTACACAACATCTGTTGGCACGCGAGATGAAATATGGGAATGTCATCCAGTACGATCTTGTTCCAAATTGGAAAGAGATTCTCTCTGGATATGATTCCCATATATAAAAATCTCGCGTGCATGAAAATAATTTGCTGTAATTTAATATCCTATTGTCAATTACTTAACTCGTGGCTACTTGTTAACTGTATTATACCTCTAATGTATAATAACCCTAATATAATAAAACACCTGGATAATACAGTAACTAAACATGGTAAATAAAGCTAATCTATAACGCCTTACACCTAAATGGCAACCTTTATTATTATCTAATTTACTCTCTTATTATTATTTTTTGTTGCTGTTATTTTCTTCTCTTCTCTCTTATAGCTCTTTAATCTCCTTCATTTTCTGTCTAAACTCTTTACTTCGTCACTCTGACTCTTTCACTTCTATTTCCTATTTGCCTGGCCAAAACGAAATACTCGCCACTAGAGGGTTCAATGAGTGTGCATCAGGGTGCATTTCTCCGAACCCTCACACGTGGCGGGAGATATTTCGTCGAGGCCAGGCGTTCTGTTAACTCTATATTTTATATTTTTCAGAAAAATGAAATACCATCTGAAAGCCTCCCCTGCAACAAGTAAGTATAAAAGGTAAGTATCGGTGGGTCGAGGCCTACCAAAAAAAAAAAAAAAAGTTTCATCTATGCTGGTGATCATCCTGTTTAATTTGGTACTGTGATCTAAGTAGTTTAAAGCGTGTCAAGGATTTAAAACAAGGCAATATTAATATCTTTCAATAAAACTACAGTCTGTGTTGAGAAAGACGTTGTATTATATTACAATGTTTCATATCAATCATTCAAAACCAAATTTTTCTCACTTTTCTACGCTGTTTTAACCCGAGAAATGGTGAAAGCCCAATTTATAGTTTTCCAAATGTGCAACTGAAATGTATGTCTTAAACAAATCTTCAAACCTACGGAGTTTTATAAAGGTTTTCACCTACTAAAAGGTAGCGTTCTACAACCAATTCTTTTAGCATATTTCTACAGTACATAAGTTACAAGTGTTTATATTCAGATCAGATTCTTCTTGGAATGTTGCATTCACCTATGCTGCTGATTATCTTATTTGATTTGGTACTGTGATCAAAATAGTTTAAAACCCTCTTCCAGCTGTTGACCCATGCCTATTTTGCATGTCCCAATTCAACCCCCCGTCAATCACCGACCATAACCCCCAAAGGCGTCACTCAAAGTTTGCTTAAAACGTTTACTATAAATCTATTCGCTAGAGGTCGCTGCTGGGTAAGGAATTGAATGGTATTTCGCTTGTTCGAAAATTAGCGATATTTTTATACGTTTTGTTTTCATTTTTTTTTATTCCATGGCCCGTATAGGTTAAATTTTTCCAATTAGGCGTTCAATACTTTTATTATCGCTTTGGAATCATAGTTTGTCACGAGATAAATGTCGAACCAGTCGAGTAAGTCAAATCGTTATCTAAGTACAGAGGTTTTGTTTCACTCCTTCGCGTCAACAAACGCAGTCGGCCATAATCATTTTGCGTCGATCTCTCTTTATAGCTCATGAATGATTTATTATAGTTACGCGTGTTTACTATTATTGAACAAAGACTATAACATTTTCCCAGACGTAGTAAATTTGCTTGCATAAGGCGATTAGCCGAAAGTGTGTCTGTGTTAGATATCGTAACATACCAAGCGGTAAATTGTATGATTATGTTTTGTGTTTACTTTATTCCATGGCCTATGTAGCTCAAGACATAAGTATTGCGTGCGTGTTTATTATTATGAAACAAATAATATAACATTTTCCCAGGCGTAGTAAATTTGGTTGTTTCGCATAAGCGACTTAGCCGAATGTTTATTTGTGTTAGATATCGTAACCTACCAAGCGGTAAATTGTATGATTATGTTGTGTTTACTTTATTCCATAGCCTATGTATCTCAAGAAATAAGTATTGCGTGCGTGTTTATTATTATGAAAACAAATATTATAACATTTTACCAGGCGTAGTAAATTTGTTTGTTTCTCATTAGGTGACTTAGCCGAAAGTGAGTTCGTGTTGTATCATAACCTAATTAGCCGAAAATATTGTACTAAATAGCATTCTTTCCGACGTCGTAAACTCGGTATATTTCGCATCTGACCCACTTAGCCGAAAAAGCGTTTGCATCCGACCTAATTGTGAAAATGTACGCTCAGCACAAATGTTTTATCTCCGATAACGACTCCCGCGGCGCACGGCTGCAGTGAGTGATTCGCGACACAACAAAAAAATTCTAATTGACTCGTGACAAGTATGATCTGGTACTGAATAACAGCGCAACACAGATGTTGTATCTGATTTCGGACTAGTATAAATACTGTACAGATTTGATACACAATAACAAAGTTTTATTCGGCTGGTGTCAAGTAAAAAAAAACGAAACAATAACAATATAAAAAAAAACCGATAACAACAAACCAAAATATATACACTGAGCAGAAAACTTCAGAAAAAAAATAATGAAAAAAACAATATTTACAAAATATAACACCCGCTCTCTAACGCCAATATTCTAGTTTGGTGTGCCAATCAGCAAAACAAGTTTTGTTTGCAAGTACACAAAGGTGTACATCACACTCGGCGCATTTTACTCTGCTTCGTGAAACATGTGGTTTTTCTTCAGTCTCGATGCCAAATTACTTTTTTTTGAACACACTGGGCACACACCCTGTCTTCCATCAAACGATGGAAGGTGGCGCCCAACGTTTTGCAGTCTCAGAACGGTGCCTGACCCCGACACCCGCCGAGAGACCTGTGATCCCCAATCAGGCCAGTTACAATTGCCATCCGGAACGTAAATCCGTCCAAGTGCTTGCCTTCGATGTTGTCGGCCAGCACTCTTGCATTGTGGAGTGCCACTTCAATAATGTATAAAAATACGCGCCGATACCATACTTTCGAACGTCTCGTCAAATTATAATATTTTCTCATTTGGTCGGAAAGATCCACACCCCCCATGTGAGAGTTGTAATCTCTGAGTACAGGGGGGCATAGAATTTCCGAAGTCTGTGACGTAGAACGGCCTCCTTTTCGCTTGACGATTTTTGAACCAGAATAGTCGCTGGTATATTCAGGGTTATGAATGGTTGTTAGAAATTAATCGGCCCTGTTATCGACCCATGACTGGGCTAGCAGGTCCCCAGCTATTCACCAATCGGTCGCCCCTCTCTGCAAACTTCGAATCGATTTTATTATGAGTTCCTTCGGAAATCCAATGCGATTAGCGCGGAATGTTCCGCATGCATATATCTCCTTGGATAATAGGTATGAAACAAGTTCAGGGCTTGTGTAAAAATTTTCGACATAAAGGTGGTGATTCAGGTCGACAAATGGTTCCATCAGATATTTCACCACTCTTGAGGATAATCCCTCCTCTGGATTTGAAGTAGGGTCTTTTTCCGTAAAAAATTGGAGCCGGGAAACATATCCAGTCGACGATTCCGCAAGTACCCAAATCGTGCCCGCTTTGACTTGATAAATTGACGGAAACTTATTCTTCCTTTGAATGGGATAAAGGTCTCGTCGGTGGATATTTCCCGGCCCATACTATGAGCATTTCCAAATAGTGGTAAAATTATTGATAAAAATTTTCGAATCTTGAACATTTTGTCCTTGTTTGGATTGTCAGCAGCGGGTGCTTCACTTTCATGGCAAAGATGTAAGCATCGCATAATATCTCTGAAGCGCTGCCTTGGCATTATTTCGTTGAAGCATGGAATGTCAAGGAGCCAGTTCTTCTTCCGCAATATAAATCCATAACGGGAAGACGAATTATTCCCATCAGTATGATTAGACCGAGGAAACAATGAAATTCCGCCGTAGTAACGGAGTCCCATTGCTTGCACTCGGTGCCGGTCGTAGCAGCCGCCGCTGTAAAAAAACCCATGAAATTACCAAATAGATTTTGATATCTTAGTAACTTCTTATAATGATTTGATGAAAAATAAATAAATCTAATCTTATTCTAAATCAAATAATAAAACGAAGATTACGGAAACCAACCTTGGAGTTTTCTGATGGCGTTGAGGTTCGTCATTTCTACTATAAATCCAATTACAGTTGAATTGAAAAACTGGTGAAAGAACGTTACGGGACTCGACGATTGGTGCAAGTGGCGATTGCGCACCTGTCGTTGACCCCCGAAAGGTCGAATTGTCCTCGCTGTGAAGGATTTTGTCCAGTTGTTTCTTGGACGAGCATCACGCCCTCTGGGTGTGGAGCGACGTACCATTTTTTTCTCGCCCCAGCCCTGGTAGCACGCCCGCCTCGTCTCCGAGGTGGAGCAGTAGACGTTGAACGTTCGTCATCTGTAGAAATAAAATATCATACAATATTACCGATACGTTATCAATCCATCTTATCTTCTTGGAAAATACATCAAATAAATTAGTACCAACCTTCCGAAACTTCGTCAGCTTGAGTGTCTAAAATATCCTCTTCCTCGGAAAAATCAGACACTTTCATACTGTCGTTATCATCCGATGCATCTTCGGGAAAAAATTCGTCGTTCTCTAGATGCCACAAAACATCATCCACATCCAAAACTCGCGATTGACGTCCAGCCATAATAACAATATAGTAATATATATTTCGCATATGTCGATCGTCAAAAATGATATGAATCGAGTCTGTCGAAACGGCTCTATTTATAGAACGGTGAATTCCAAAACGCTACTGACGCCTTTCTCTCGAAGCCCAACTAGGTCTGACGTCTCTCTCATATTAACGGCCTCATATTACCAGTTGGTTACCAGTAAGCTAGCGTAAACATAAAATTATCCCATATGAGCTTACCCGCTGTAGTCATATTTGTGCCCATTCAAAAGCCTGACCGATATGTCTAAAATAATATCAAAGTCACACACTTCCTAAAGGGTTTCGTTCTCCAATCAATTCTTTTAGCATATTTCCACAGTACATAATTTCCAAGTTTTTATATTCAGATCATATTCGTTTTAGAATGTCTGTTTTACCTAGGCTGTTTATTAGTTTAAGTCCACCTGCTCAAAAACAACCAGGAATTACTCTGCGGCCGTCACCTTCGAGAGCCGCAAAGGCCACTGGATGAAAACCTTCGCGGCTACGGAAAGCCCAAATAACAGCTGCCGGGAAAGTTTTCTAGAATCCACCCAAGGCTAATTCAAACACCTGGAGCAACGATTACAGTTCAACTGCCTTGGCTGCGGAAATGTGTGCCATAAAAAACTGGCATCGAGGGACATATGTATACAATGGGTATATTGCCTTCATAATTGAAGACTTCGAGAAAGAACGCCTACCCGATCATGTTGTATTCGAAGGAATCAATTGCAAAACCTACCTCCTGAGAGAATTATATGTAACGAAATGTGGAAGATGTCTACAATCTGGGCATACTTACCTACATTGCAACAACACACCGGTTCGCAGATGTTGCAAAAAAGTCTGACACTTACAAAAGGAATGTCAAGCTAGACTAGCAAAGGAATATCCAGCAATATCGAATACAATAAAAACATGGACTCTTCCAAAACAAAGGAGGCTGCCAACGGATAATATTACACATTCACCTCGTAGAACCATAGAAACAACGGAAATCAGCACGCAAAACTAAGAAAAAATTACACCCAATCAGAGCACACAATTACGCACGCAATTTCCCAGAAGCAATTATGCCTACCAAAACAAAACGGAATACAACTCAAACTGATGATCACCTCGCACCAATCGCCATTCGGAATTTTTGTCATCAAGTCAATAACTGAAGGTACTATCAGAATGGTCTGTGTGCGAGGATGTTGATGGCGTCATCAATCCAATTTGCACTCCCAACATCTCGGCCCAAAGCAGTTACAAGACAGGCTGGAAGACTTAAGAAGACGTCGACTATGGGTAATACTTACTTCCATCCACCACCAAAGGGCCGAGCATACGTAAAAGTGATGGTACACAATATTGAAAGACAACTCTAAACACGGATTACAAAATTATTTCCAAGATCTTGGTAAACCGTCTAGCACTCTAGCCCCTGGCCTGTACTAAACCATCTAATAAGTCCAACACAAAAATGCTCTCTACCAGAACGAAACATGTTTGACATACATTACAACATCGATGCCATCATAAGATACTGCAACCTAAAGGACATACCATGAACTATTATCTTAATAGATAATCTTAAAGCTTTTTACCCAGTAAATCACGGCTTCCTATTTCAAATTCACAGTATGTCGGGCTCGAGGGTAATTTCCTGGGTTCTCGTGTAGTTTCGTACCTAACATACTTCTAGTGGGCGTAGCATGACAATTTTTGCACGTATCAATCCTAACCCCCACCTGACTACACCATCCAAAAATTACGTCAACGCGACGTCACAGTGACGTAATAGAGCTCTTCAAACTATACGAACTGCCATCCAAGATGCGCAAACGAGCACCCGAAATCGAACGGTTATTTCTCTCGCTTTCTCGTCGCAACGATTCCGATAGGAGAGAGATCAATAATGTCAGTTAGCTCTTTATCGTCGGCGCCAATGCCATTTCGGGCGATTGTACGTATATTTGGCAAGCTCTATGACGTGATTGTGATGTCGTAGTGACGTAATTTTTGAATGGCGTAGTTGTTATGCTACGCCCACTAGAAGTACGTTGGGTACGAAACTAAACGATCCTGATCCAGATCCTGAACGTCATTAAAAATATGTACCGGAACAGAAACCATCATAGACGTAAATCGTAGATTATCCAAACACATACCCGTCGGACGCGGCAATAAACAAGGATGTCCATGAGTATGCTTCTATACTCCGTCGTGGTCGCAACACTATCAAGAATTCAAACATATGCGGAATAAATTAGGACGAAAAGAATACAAAATGGACCAATTCGCGGATGACGTCACGTTTGCAGTAAGGGACCCAAACTCAATAGCACAAATCTTTCACGAACTTAATAATTTTCAATTGGCATCTGGACAACAAATTAACCAAGAAAAAACCGAAATACTCTGCATCACGAAACCATCCCATAATTTAATATCCAAATCTCCAAACAATAAATATATAAAAGAAACAGTAAAAATACTTGGAATACAATTCGGACAAAAGAAGGTAGAAAAGATATGGGATGAAATGAAAGCCAAGCTAACCCAAACGCTAATTCTTTAAAACCTAGACGACTCATGTGGCATGGAAAAATACTTGCAATAAATTTATTGATAAAGTCGATCATAACATTCCATGGAAGAGGCACCACCATTTCGCAGAGAACAATCAAGGAAATCGAAGGGGTACAATTATCATTAGAGGATGGAGGTATATCCATGGTGAAGGTTAAATCAAAAATTGAGGCTTGTCAAGTGGAGAAACTAATGATCCTCGTAATCGGCGGAGAACTAAATCAATTCTGGCACACCGAAGGGCTCTACTCACTAGGAACAAAAATTAATATTATAAAAGAGGATCTATATTCAAATTCAATCCCCCACAGTACCGTAATCCCTACATGCTGGGCGTATTTAATCTCCATATTCCAGAAAATAAACCTCGATAGCGACCAAAAGAAGACAGCAAGACACAAGGACCTATATCTATCACTCAAAGATTATACATCAAAACAGCAGCTACAAGAACAGCCATCACAACAACTAGCCATAAACGGGGAGGGTATACACCCCTTCAATACAAACTACATAGCAAATGCAGAAAGACTGTTCTCCGTTTGGAGAACATGCTGCAAATAGGACAGCATATTGTCGTAGTGGATCCGACCTGCGAGAATCAATGGAGAGGATTACCGGTGATAACCACTAATCATCCAATTTTGCCCGCTTGCGCTCCTCCAGTCCCGATTATTTCCGATATTCCTGTTGGGCAGTTATCCTCAACAAACATGACTGCATTCTGTTTTAATGTTGACAACAAAGTTACCAGCTCAAATTTTATCGAAAGTAGCATCTATAATTATTGCGATGGCCGATACGGGATTGACTGTCCAGCCAGTTATGTTGAGAAAAGAATGCTGGTGGCTCAAATAGAAATACACATACCCGGCATGCAAAAAATAAATAAAAAAATATCGTATCGCCCGAAATACGAATGAGAGGGATGACCCTAAGATGCGGTCCAACGGGTTCTCAGAAGATGCTTGTGTGTAAGTTCTGTGAGATTCCCCCCGATAACACAAAGCACATATTCCTGGCCTGCACCATAATGCAGAGGTGTGTATCTGAAATTGTAAAGTTTCTAAACAGCGTTTTAAACACACAATTCAATATAACGCAGAAGGAAATCTTTTATAACAGTTATGATGGCCCCAACCGAGTAACAAAATGCTTCGTTATATTGAAAAACAACTAATTGGCACGAAAAAAGGAAACTTGACGTATTAAACAAATATTTGGCCCCCACTGACGATAAAATAATACCCAGCACAATTGCCCACTTCACATCATTTCTGACCACAATTGAAAATGAATTCAAAGACATTCAATTTTTTGGACTCGAGAAAAACTGGAAGGAAATGTTAAACGGATACTCGAAAAATTAGGAAATCAAGACACTCCAGCCACCACAAATGGTAGCCCGTAACCGACAACAAAATTGTGTAACATTGTCCGGTTTTTTAATCCTGACGGAGAGGATTACCGGTGATAACCGGGAAAAAGTGATGAGCTCAGAAGGTATGTGGAATATCGAAAGCAAATGGACTAAAGGTCTCTAACTGATTCAAATTGCGAAACAAGCGACAAAAACGAAGGCGAGGAAACTATCAACTCTTCAAGCAATCAACGAACGAGAAGGAATGCGTGAATATGTCAACACGTTGTTGTGAGAAACGTCGGCATTGTGTCGTCATAATTTCGGGGCTAGCCCCGATGATTTAGTAAAAGAAACAGAAAACAAACGCGGCGAGTGGAAGATAAAAGAGAGAATACGATATACAATGAGCAACCGGGGCAAAATCGGCGTCGCCCCGTCGACGTTCGGCGAAGGCTTTGCGAGCGAAAAATGAACCATGTCGGGAGAATATGGCTAGTGTAGACAGTCTGTGCAACCGATATTGAGGTATTTTTCGAATATTTTTTATTATACCGAAAAAACAACCGGGGCATTGCCCCGGTTGGCCCTATTGACGCGCCGCCACTGCCTAGATATAAATTCAGACAAATTACTTGCTTGATCAATTATGATATTAACGAATTTGACATTTTTGATTGATGACTAAAATAATAAGAGAAAGTTTTCATGTGAGTTTATGGCATTGGTTACAAATATGTAAATGGTGAATGACTCAAAGTAAAGTTTATATAAGGACATTAAAATGTCTGCAATAGTCAAGTTGTTTGAGTGTTTAAGTTTGGAGCAACAAAGTTGGTATAAAATAGCAATCATATCAAAATTGAGCTTAAATGTTTTATTTTGCAAAATCTGACGTTGCTTTATCTATGTATATCTTTGCAAATTTTAGATAATGCTGTTGGCATTATCAAAATATTTCTTTATTGGCCTCATATAATATGTACATTATTATTGCTTATGTGTTATTGCTCAAAGTGCCTGTGGAGTGAATTTCCCACTAAATACTTTTTTCTCGTGTCTGTAATTTATTACTTATCGATTTTAATCACAGGCCTCCAGCATACACTCTTTAATAAAGCTTCATTCAACGAAATGACGCCACTATCTTGCAATCATCTCACTTATGGCAAAGCTTGCCTTCACTGAAGCTTCACAAATTTTGTTTATCTCTGAAAAATGTGTTGGAGATCCCTGCTTTAGGTTAATGACGTTTCACACTTGCGAGGAACAGGAACCCCCAGAGTTGCTAAATTGCTCCTAAAAAGCTTCCTAACAAATCGCTTGCAATTTGTCAAAATTGGTACAGCCGAATCATCATATTTACCCATAACATGTGGAGTTCCGCAGGGTTCAAATCTAGCCGCATTGCTCTTTTTAATTTTTGTTAATGATTTACCAAATGCCTCTTCTCGTTTTACAAAACTGTTCGCTGACGATACAGCATTCTCAAAATCTGCCAAGTCTTTAGTGCAACTGAAACAAAAAGTTGATACTGTACTAAATAAGGTAGCACACTGGATGGCCAGCAATAAATTGACCATAAACAAATCAAAATCTATTCTGATTTGTCCAACCACGACTGAGACCAATGATCTGTTCAAAGTTACCATAAATAGCAACTCACTAGAATGAGTCCAGTCATACAAATATTTGGGCATTACAATAGACAATAAATTAAGATGGGACAAACATATTGACTTTATTATAGCAAAACTTTCAAGAGCTGTAGGAATATTACGCAAACTTCGAAATTATCTACCTAGGTGTACCCTAAGGCTGGTATATTTTGCCCTATTCCAATCATATGTCCAATATGGGATAACAGTTTGGGGATCGTGTCTCCAGAAGAGCCACAGCCGCAAAATTAAATCTTTACAAAACAAAGCAATCCAATTTGACAAATTCCGTACAGTCCTCGAACCTGGGCCAACTCTATAAACTATCCAATATCCTTAAATTTGATGATATCCACACATTTGAGATAGCCAAAATCATGTATCAATTCACTCATGATATGTTGCCTAGAGCTTTTCAGGGTCACTTCACGACTCAGTCATCAGTACACGACCATAACACCAGATCAGTCAGTAGATAATCTTACCAAGTTCAAAGATTTACTTCGAATCGAACCCAACAATCCTTGAAATATACCGGGGTCAAAGTTTGGAATAAAATACCCTATTACTTTCGAAACCTGACGTATTGCTCCTTTAAAGCCCAATATCGTGCATACCTAATGAGCCAATAAACAGCTATTAACGTTATAACTTATATGCAATGTTTTTGGCTATGATGTCAATACAGCCATATCGTACCGGTAACTGATTTGTAAACCAATGATATTAAATTTGTTAATATTGTTATACAAAACCCTATTTTCACAAACTTTAAATATTTTGATCGTAGTATTAAAACTTACCCCGCCTTTTCAATTGTCATTTGCTTCGGAGGATGTTTGTTTTGTTCACAAGACTCTGGTTTTCTCCGGTCAGTAATCAGTAGTTTATTTTTTCACCACACATGAAATACACTAAATGCATACGGAATGTAGAAAGAAGCAAAAACGGATAATTCGAGGTGAAAGGAGTCGCGAAAACCAAAATTGGTTATCGAGCGGCGACACCTGAGCTAGAGTCTAATAAATGAATCATAAAACAATGAAAAAAGTCAAACAATAAATAAAAGAATATAAAGAAGTGAAAAATCGAGACGACCTGAATCCAAGAGACGCTCGAAGCACAGAAAAGCAAAACCAAAAACGACTCCAAGCACATATGTGCGAGTAACTATGGGAACGGCAGCAGGAATGCAGTACAGTGCGATGACAGGATACCGAACAGATATCGCAGCGTTATGGAATTGATAGTTATTTAAACAGATTTTAAATATATCCCGGTAGGGATATTATGCCGATAACACGGCGTAATCATAGTTATAAATGTTTGCCAAGAGTTCGAATAAGATTGCAAGTGCTGGGGTGCAAGAAGATTGCAAGTGCTGGGGTAAGTCGAATCGTCATTAATACATTACAGATAAAAATTATTCTAATCTGTGAAAAACAGGTTAACTCAACAAAGTAGATGGGGGTAACAATAAATAGCGTTGTAAATTAGTAAGCATACCGCTTGGAATCGTTGAGAATATAGAATGAACACGATATGTGTATGAACAGATGGATGAAATAACCACTGCAGCACTGAGTATCACAGACAGTGCTATATATATACAAATTTCGAAAATGCAACAAAGCACAATAATAATAAAGTGGTAAATATGATAGCTTTTTACAAAAATATATACGAGATAGTTATTAAATTGTATTTGGTGAGAGACCAATATCAAGGATCATGAGTGTAGAACTGTTGAAAGATACTGCTAACACTATACGATTAGGCTATGAGCAAAATTGAATTACCATTGTATGACAAATGGCCATACAGTATAATATAGTGCAGAGCATGCACTATGGAAGTAGATGATAATAAAGAAGCAACTTAAATATTTACATGAAACATTCAGATTCACTTATTACAGGTACTGTCGACTCTGGGAGGTTGTGGACCTAGTCAAGTATTCTGCTGGCAGTGCCGAGGGAAAGTCAGTAAGCACATCAAACAGATGTGCTGGAGAAAGACAGGTAGGATGAAAGCATGAATTTTTTATATTTTATTTTGAAAGTAGCATATGTGGAGTCACGTAAACTTTGGGGAATGTTATTCCAAATTATTACGCCTTTGTATTTCAGGGAATTTTGAGATTTGCTCAGCGAAAAGCGAGGTACAAAAAGATTGGATTTGGTCGAAGAGCGTGTGTTGTGTTCATGCACAGAGGTAAGCGAAACAAAATAATTGTCGAACGCTGTGGGCAAGTAATTATTCTGAAATTGGTGCATAACTTTGGCAATCTCTAGAGTATAAATGTCGGATAGTTTCAACACCCTGGTTTTATGGTAAAGGGTGTTTAAGTTTGTACGAATAGACGCTCTGGAGAGAGTTCTAACAGCTTTATTCTGTAAGACCTCCAATTTGTGAATGTTGGTTTGTGTTGCAGAGCCCCATGCAGTTATAGCATATTGGATGTGGGATTGAAAAAGAGCAAAATAAATGGTTCGCAGGGTAGCATCCTGCACATAATGCCTAAGTTTTCCCAAAATCCCAACAGACCTTGACAATTTCTTGTGCATCTCGGTAATATGAGTGTTCCATTTTAAGTTACTATCTATATAGAGCCCGAGATATTTAAAGGATTGAACAACTTCCAAAGCAACATGTTGGAATGTTTTTTAATTGATTTAGGACTGAATAGCATGACTTTAGATTTTTTTACGTTCACGGTGAGTTTGTTGCATAACATCCACTCAATTATTTTATCTATTTCAGTGTTCATAGTATTTTGGAGCGTGGTTGAATCTTTGGCACTGGCAAGCAAGCAAGCGTCATCGGCGAAGAGTTTTGTTAAAAGATTCGAACAGTTCGACAAATCATTCATGAAAAGTAAGAAAGCCAATGGTCCAATGACCGAACCTTGGACAATTCCACAGTGGATGGGCAACATCGGAGACCTATGACATCCTACTTCAACAAACTGTGATCGACCACTCAGGTAATTACATAATAGTTTGCATGCGTTACCTCTAAAACCACAGTGTATCAACTTTTGGACAAGAATTTGATGATCAACTGTGTCAAAGGCCTTCTTTAAATCCAGGAATGCACAACAGACAGACTCCCCTTTATCAATTTTTTCATAGATAAATGAAATAAGATCTAGGATGGCATGGGAAGTCGAGTGATTGGATTGAAATCCGAATTGGCATTTGTCGATCAGACTGAATTTGTTACAGAAGTTGAGCATTCTTTATAGACTAATTTTTTCCAGGGACGATGCCGGATACAGGGTTAGAATTGAAATTGGCCTATAATTGAAGGATATTTTTTGTTGCCACTTTTGAAGATGGGTATTACTACCCTAGCAATCTTCAGAGCGGAGGGAAATTCCTAAACTAAATGATAGATTAAAGAAATGACTCAAAGCTGGGGATATGCTGTCTGCGACTAATTTTAAGAAAAAAGAAGGAATATTATCATGCCCAACTGCTTTGCCTTTTTTCAGGTTCATTATTGACTTGGTGAACTTCTAAAGGTGTTGATGCTCCAGAAAAACGAATTCTGTGTAGGAGCACCCAGAAAGGCTTTTGAAAGATTTCGTACCGTGTGGGACATTATCGGCAAGTCTCTTTCCTACGGATGAAAAAAATTTATTAAATTCAACGGATATCGCGACAGGGTCTGAGACTATGGTACCATTTTTCAAGCTTCAGTTCTGAGATAGTGGTTTCATCATTGGACCTTACTTTGATGATGTCATTTATAGTTTTCCAAGTGCGTTTAACATCGCCTCTGTTGTTCTCTAGGATGTTATGGTAATACATTTGTTTTGATCTCCTCTGCAAATGTGTCAAAATATTTTTATATTTTTTAAAGTGGAGACGCTGGGATAAATTTCCCTTCAGGAACTTACTTTTGAACATCTTGTTCTTATGTTTAATGGAATTACGAATTCCTTTAGTAATCCAAGGTTTGGAATAAAATTTGTTTTCTCTACGCGAAAATGGTCTTAATGGGGCATGCTTATTGATTAACCACTTGAAGTGACTAAGAAAAGTATCAAATGAGCTATTGAAGTTTACTTCAGATAATATAACACTAGTATAATTATTACACATTGACTCAACTTCTAGCCTGAACGAGTCAGCACAAAATTTAGTCATGTCCCGTTTCATGCGAGTGTTTGTTTTAACGTTACTATTAGTTGCTGGTATTGTGCACATTATGGGAAAGTGGTCGGTGAGATCACTGAGCAAAATAAATGACGAAGTGCGGGAATCTATGATATTAGTGTAGATGTGGTCAATTAATGTGTGGGAGGTTGAGGTCACTCTGGTTGGTTTGGTGATAAGTGGACATATGAAATTGGACATTAGCATATCCAGATACTTGGTAGTAGGATTGTCACAAGAATTAAAAAGATTTATATTAAAGTCGCCTAATATAATAAATTGCTTTTTAGCCATCGCCAGCTTCTCAAATAAACAAGACATTGCTGTGGTGAATGATGGGATATTATTTTTTGGATGTCTATATATTACACCGACAACAAGATTTTGAATTTTTGAGGTTGGTTGGAAATATTTGAGTTCGATCCACAAGTCCTCACAGTTTGGGAGGCAAAGGCTGAAGTCAGTGCATAAATGAAAGTTTAGATTGTCCCTAATATAAAAACCAACACCGCCTGCGCGAGTAGAGGAGGGAGCATGAATGAAAGTGTAACCAGAGATATCAATATTGTCAACAGCAGTTTCACTTCATGATCCTAGTCTGCGCTTAGAGCAATTAATTTGAGTGGAATACAAAAAATTTGAAATTAGCTCAACTAGATTATCGCATATTTTGCCAAAGATCTGATGTTATGGTGCAATATAATAAAGTCTGTTGCTAGAAAACTTGAAGTTACTCTATTGATATTGGATATTTCAAGGTATCGACTTGCAATAGAAGGAATATTCGGGATGGAAAATTGGTTGATTCCCAGGTAGGATAAGGATCACTCATAGATGAGGAATGCTAATGGGTTCGAATTAGATAACATTAGGTTGGTTGAGGCGAGGGGGGCAAAGTCATTAGATGGTCAATCACGTGGTTTGAATTTGTCGATTTCCCATAATGCTATTTTAGAGTTTGATACTGTCACCACTAGTGTACGCCAACGAGCAACCGGAAATCTATTTAATTCTATTGTGATATACTGTTACTTCTCTTTTTATTTGTTTATTTTATTTTTCAAAAGGTGCTGTAGACTAGATGACGGAGCAATCCGTCCCTCACATCACCTGTCATTTTGATACTGTATTTATTACATACACTTTATTGTTGAATAATTTCTTTATTCGAAGTGACAAATAAAATCTCTGACTCTGACACTGCTCGCATACGGATCCGGCCCGCAATATGCCCACCCCCGTGTTACCAAGTCAAAAAAGTTCAATAGTAAACGGAAGAGTAGTCGCGGTCTGTTATTCAGTGGTTCCCAAACTGTGGGTCGCGACCCCGGATGGGGTCGCGTGTAGAGTTTCCGGGGTCGTCTAACTTTGTCAAACATGCGCACACAAGTGACTAGCATTTGAAAGTTGGAAAGTGAAATTTGTTCTGGTCGGCAAGTTCCGTAAAAGTGCCTAACGAGTCGCGAGTATCTGTAGGCTTTGATTTTATGAAAACTGGGGTCGCAAAAAAAAAAGTTTGGAAACCGCTGCAAGGGTTATATCAAGCCACGCCAAGTTTGACCCGAAAATTTACGATGGACTATTGACGTGTTGTAAACATAATCAGACCCCGCAGCTCTTTAACTTATTCCCATGCTGGATAACCAATTTTGTCCGGAATATATGCTTACAATATAGGCATCATGGAAAACTAAAAACGGAATGCAGATTCTATTAGCCTGGGATGGCTATGTCTGATAACTATGTGTTTGCACAATAAAAGTGTTTGTTTTGTATTGCACTGTTTACCTATTCTTGGCACTATTGTGGCCCGCGAACAATGCAAAAATAAATTTGTGGCCAGCGAAGCCGACAACCTTGGACCACCCTGGTCTAGTGGTTTGAAGTTCCGGGTTCATTTCCCGGTACTAGTTTTCCTTCCCCAGTAAAATCTGTGTTGAGTTTTGTTATCCATTTTTCACTGGATGGAAAAAATAAACTTGAATATGACTCCGGTCTATCTGCGCTGTTTACCGCACAGAAAGCAGTGGTTTTCCATTAAGCCATTTGATTAAGTAATGTCTCATCAACATCACGACCACAAAAAACTAGCACATGCTAAATCTGGAAACACCCCCTCCTCATTGAACACATAAGTAATCGAGGCCGAACAAAAAAGTATTATCTTGTAATTTGTGATATTTCAGGCGAAAGCCAATGCCAAACCCGTCGATAGAGGCTTCCTTGTAGAGGGAAGGGCGACAAGAGAAACCGCAGCCTATGAAATAACTTTAACATTAGCCGAGATTCTATGGACACTACTGGCAACCAGCAATATGACTCGAACTAAGGAGAGTTTGAAAATACAACTTCAATTTCAACTCCCGCTGCAAATCTTTGCTAATTTTCATCTTTGGACTCGGTTTCTCTTTAATGTATATTAAATAGATAGATAGTTTATTAGAACAGAGATCCGTAACTACGGGGTCGCGACCCAAATTTGGGTCGCGAAGCCCTCCCTCTGGGTCGCGAAACAATTTAAATTTTTCATAAATATGAGCATCGCGTCTGTGCAGCGTATTTATATATAACAATAAATCTCTGATTATAATTATGAATGTTTCCCCGAGTATACACTTCCTTATTTACTGCTGTAACATTGGCCAATCAGCATGAGTGCAAAATTGAAGTAACAATAAACGTTTACCTCGTTTTGTCGGTTTTCGCGTGTTATTTGTTAGATTTTAGTTGTGTTTTGGTAAATATAAGTCCTAAACTCGCAAAACTATTCTTGAAATAAGTACCAATAATTTTGCAATGGTAGAGTGTAAAGAGGAAGAATACAAGAGATCAAAAGTCGGGGAAACATTCGTTACTTAGTTGTTCGCATTGTTATATCCTACCTACTACGTAGACTTTGGGTTCTCAAAGGGCTTCGTACGGAGCCTCAGGACTCCGTTAAAGACACTTAAAACAGTCCTCGACCGACCTCCCTATCCTCGACCCACTGCCCTATCTCCCCCAACCTTGCTATCCTCGAACCACCGCTCTATTTCCCTCAACCTCTCTCTTCTCGACCCACTGCCCCTTCTCCCTCAACCTACCAATCCTCGGACCCACTGCCCTATCTGCCACAACTTACCTATCTTTGACCTACGGTGCTATACTATTCGGTACCTGACCTAACGGCGCTTTATTCACGACCCGATCGCCACACTGAACTTTACTATCTTGCGACCAACTTCCATGAGTTATACTGGTCGTGTATGCCAATGAGTTGATTCAATCGTACGTCGACAAAACATGATTGACAGCATTCGTATGTGTAGGCTGGAATCTCAAATAGTAAACAATAACCCTAATTGGCAGTTTAAAAATGTTTTACTAATTGGGCTACTGATGGTTTTTTGTTGGGAATAACAGTTTTCTAACAGTTGGCAACGCTAGCTAAAACAAAACATTTCATGGCTTAAAAATAGTTTGGAAGGGATTACACTTACTGAGCTCACTCACACTGTTTTTGACTTTTCGGCCTTCTCAGTCACGTAAAAGAAATATGTATATACAACAGAATATGGCAGAACATTTGTTGCAAATGACTAAGCGTGCAAATATTTGATTATTTCCTCCAAATGAGTTTCTAGAAATGAATTCAGGTATGTCGATATCGAATGGCCTTTCAAAATTTTAAAAACAGTCACCTCAAACCCGATGCCATCAGTAGCTTAATTAGTAGCACATTTTTAAGCTACTAATTATGGCTACTGATTACCAATTGAGATTCCAGCCCACATTTTCGAATGCCGTCAATCATGTTTTGTCTACGTACGATTGAATCATCTCATTGGCATACTCGACCAGTATAACACATGGAAGTTGGTCGCAAGATGATAGAGTTCATTTTGACAATCGAGTCGTGATTGTAGCGCCGTTAGGTTAGGTACTGAGTAGTGTAGCGTCGTGGGTCGAAGATAAATAAGTAGAGGGAGGTCGGACAGTGGGTCGAGGGTGTGAAGTTTGGGGCAGATAGTGCAGTGGATAGAGGAAAGAAAAGT